GTGTTCATGGTGGAGGAGATGGGGGTCGCACTGCCCCTTGATGACAGGGATGACGGGTTCGTGGCGACGACGAAGCAGGAGAAGTGGGTCATGGAGTTGATGGACTCAAGTCGGCCGGGCCCCCAGTCGTCTTCTTTCTCTTCTCTCATGAAGGGACGTTTGGATTTATCATGAAGCATGCAGATCGAGTGCTTGCATGCTAAGAAAGTGAGCTTGATGAGCTCCCGTTTTTCTTGAAGTCTATGCTCTGCTCAAAGTTCTCTCATGGATTCTTGATGCTAACGAACTAGCCATTTGCAAATTTCTATCATTTTTTCGAAAAGCTTGCATCAAACGTTGATCCCCTTTTTTTAAACATATCTATTTTATTTCATTTTGGTGGTAATGCTTCTTATGGCAACATCTACCTAAAAATTTCTGCAGACTTCATTCGCCCAATCACGATACGTCTATAACTTTAGTGGACAAATGGGGGAATGAATACAAGACCTCTTATCTTCTCGAGAGGCATGGCTTGAGTGCCGGGTGGAGTGGTCACAGGCTATTGCAAGGCGACATACTCATTTTCCATTTTCCATTTGACAGAAGCTTGCAATTGCAGGTAAAGTTTTTATATTTTTTATAATTTCCTCTTTAATCGAAGCTCAAGTTAAAATATTCGACATGGTATATGATATTATTAAGGATAGATTAGAAAACATTATTATGTTTTGTTGAATCTAACCTTAATAGTATTAAGAATATTTTTTCGTTCTTTTTTTTTTCTTATGTATAGTTCGTTAGGAAAATTTGGATTATTACCTTTGTAGATGCACATTGTTAGAGTGCAAGGCTCGGATGTTGGTGCAGCTCTTTGCCTTATGGAATTGGATGCTTTTAAAAGAGGGGCAAATGATGGTTAGTGTTTGGTTTTTCTTTCCCTTGAAAATTACCATTTTGTTTTCGGGGTTTCTATTTTGTACCGTGACATTTGAACAACTATGGATCGAGATTTGATCTCTTACATTTGTGTTTTGCTCTCACATGGCAACATTTATGAAGATCTTGAGAAGAAAGATAAAAGAACAACAAAGTACGGGGAGCTTTTCTTGCCCAATCTCTCCACACCATTAGAGAATGTCAAAGGAAAAAACTTGCTCTATCAATACGTGAGAGAAACTGATGGTTTTAGCTCCAAATCCGTAGGTGTGATTTTATTTTTATTTTTATTTTTTTGGTTCTTTTCTTTCTTTTTTACATTTTCCATCTTGACGAACTTTCTTTCTTGAAAATGTTAATTGACAAGAAGTAATGGTGTTTTGTAGATTCTGAAATTGTGGTTAACAAATTCCTTCTCTATCCCGAATCGTCATTTTTGCACGAACAACCTTGTGAGGGCGTCGTTTGTAGGTAGGTTCTGAAAAAACCTCATAAGAAAAAGGACCAAAAAAGAAAGATACTCTGGGAGCACCTTTATTTATGCTCCGTTTTGTTGTATCCTCAAAAGCATCGGTTTTTGAGGAATATATGTTAAAATCTTGCAAATAGCAAGTCCCTTTATGAACCGATCATACATATAATATATATACATATATATATACAAGCTACTTAAAGTGTTCTGTAGAATGTCGTCTGACTAAAGGGCATCTACATATACCCATGTTGACATCCAAAGGTAAAATCGAGCGGTTTTGCTATCGATGATTTGGATCGTGAGAATTTTTGGGGTTGTAAACATATGTATAAACTTATTGTATATGCCTTATATTCGTTGATGCAAAATTTATCGATCTTTTACGAGTTACTTGGCGACTTGAATTGTTTATATATTGCTCGATAACGTGCGACTATTCGCCAAAAATAGCTATTGTTTGAAAACATGTCTTCATTGGAATTCAATTTTGTAAGTTTAGTGAAAATATGAACTGCTATGTATGTATGTGTGTGTATTCTGTTGCAGCTTAGTTAAAGAGTGATCATATCCCACTGTGCATTATATGTGTATACAAAACGTGGCTGAGTAGGTGTTTTTTTTTTTTGGCCAATATTGATAATGTAATATTTCATTATTAGAAAGTTTGAGTTTAGAATAACGTATTGCTTTATGTCGAATTTTGTATCTTTATTATTTGTTTGTTTTAGACTGATATGCCAGTTTTGTAGTAGAGGACATCTTAAAAGACTCAGAAAGAGAAAAATCAAAGCATAGGAAATACAAAAAATTGTGAAAGTATGAAAAGAAAGAGAATAAATGTTAGAGAAACAATGTATTAAATTATTAATATATAATTTAAGTGCTTTGTGTGATAATAATAATAACAGTCAAATCATGAATTGTGTTAATTCTCATATTTCGTATTCTATAATAATACTAATATTATTATTACATATCACTTTTATTCATTGCATTTTTTTTTAATATTTATTTACAAATTTAAGTTTATCTAAATAAAAAAAATAAAATTGTTCATTTTCTATATCTTTTTTGATTTTTTTGTTTTTTATATCTCATATCCAATCACATCCGTAAATATTTTTATATTTCTCTTTTCGAGTGTGGATTCTCAAGATATACATAAACCATGACCCAATGAATTGGGTAACCAAAAACTGAA